TATATTGTAGTCTCTACATTGTTAATATAGCGATGGGCTATATACAAATAGGCCACGTTCACACAGTAGCAGAATATGATTGTCCGTCCTGTATTTGAATCCTTAAAGCAGCATTATGCAGTTTTTTACCTTAACTGATTATCTTCGGAGATATTGCAATAGTTATATAACTATTTTCAGGTTGAATGTTGGATGTCTCGCCCCCCCCTGTTGCCTGTGAGCAGAAAAAAAACACATTTGCAACTTTGAGCCGGCGGGCCACTGGCCGCAGCATCAGGAAGTGCCGCGTGATATCAGGTCTTGCGATGCAACGAATTGCTTTTCAGCCAGATCAATCTGCTAAAATGAGCATCAAACAGAAATAACCCGGCGCCGGATACATGTGGTGTTCGATGTGCATACAATAAAGACTGCTAACAGTTCAACAGGGCGCAGCTCTTAAAGGGGCCACACCTTATTTCCACTCATAACAGCTTCCATCCTACTGAACAGGTACCGGTATACTGCCCTACAAAAGCAAAGCGCAGTAAATACATATTTGGTCAAAAATGAGTTAAAACTTGTAATGGGCTTTATGACGTGTTCTGTCTTGTGAAAAAAATATCTGGGTTAAGTTATGTCCCGTTTTGGAGATACATTACCACATAATCTACCCATAACATGTTTGACTGGCTGGTATAAAAACTTTAAAGGCCTTTTTCTCTGTTTCTTTGTTTGCGTAGTTACTGTACTTAGACTTTGTAGGGCAGCATACAGGGGGAGGGGATCAGGCCGTGAGTGTAGAGACATCTCTGCGTGAGTGCTATTTAAGACAGTACAAGTACTCCACAGCGACACTAGGGGTCACAGTTTGACAAAAACGGAAATCCTGCAAAGTGCTGCTTTAATACAGTTATGTTCTCACACAGTTCGGTTATTTACAGGAGTGACAACAGCATTCTATAACCAAACTCACACCCGTAAATTTTCAGGACTGTCTCGGTTACTAACGTATCCTCGGGTCCCTAAGATGAGGGAACAAGTATTGCGTAAGGCTAGCTTACGCTATGTAAACTCATTTTCTCAAGAATATTGAAGTCAATTTTTTAAAGCAGTGTACTGTAGATGCACAGCAGACGTCTAAGCGTAGTCTTTGGCTGTGCTGCGGCAACTGGCCGAGCCTATGAAGAGGCGGCTCACGCGTGTGAACCAATCAGGCTGATTAGTACCCTGGAGTGTCAGAGCCTGCCAGAACAGGCATGGCTTATGTCTTTATAACATTCATTCTGCCATAGGCAACCATGTTTAAATCAACTGAAGCGATCCCCTGATCGAAGCACAGAAGCACGGCGGGTTACGCAATACTCGTTCCCTCATCTCAGGGAAACGAGGATACGCTAGTAACCGAGACGTTCCCTTTCGAGAGGTCTCTCGTATTGCGCAAGGCTAGCTTAAGGTTTGGGAACCCACTTCAAAATGCCACGCATGCTTAAAACTACGCCGATAATACTATAAAAGTACTATAATATTATAGCCCAGGGTAGGATGCCTGAGGCCCATAGAGAAGTAAAGTTAATAGAAGCCAGTCCAGTGACGAGCTTCATATAGGGAACCAAGGTATGGGCCTAAAAAAAAGAGTCAATTCCTTTATAATATATATATATATATATATATATATATTAGAACTGTAGTTTGAGTTCATTCAGGACCAGGTTTAGGGGGACTGGGGGGGAAAAAAGAGCAATGACAATGCGATGATCTCTGCTTTGTGACAGCGAGCCCCTTGGTGCGGCCGCCCAAAGCAGCCCTAACAAGGCAGAGTAGATTCACGTTGACAAGGCAGAGTAGATTCACGTTTCTTTCTTCCTCTGGTGAGGGAAGAGCTGCAAAAGAAATAATCTGTGCTCTGAACGGTAGTACAGATTTTCCCGTTTGCCTGTGTGAGGAGATCTCTCCTCAGTGGTATCGGCCATAGGGCGGTTTCCATTGCTTCACCAACTTGAAGAACCATGCCTAGCATGTGTGCCGGCCTCAGCGAGTGCAGGTTGTGCTGAGCCCATAGAACAAGACTCTTGGCCATGGTGTGCAGTTTGTTCGACCTGAGACCACCCTGGTGATTTATGGAGGACACCATTGCTATGTTGACCGCCCGGACCAGGACGTGGTGGCCTTTTAGATATGGGAGATAAGTTTTCAGTGACAGAGTGACCGCTCTAATCTCTTGACAGTTCATATGATTATAAGTTTATATGCCGATGTTGAACACACCTTTTGTATTTGATTTCTGTTTTCACAGCCTCCCCACCTAACTTAGTTAATTAATTTGTCACCGTTTATTAGTCATTTGATTATTCATCTAGTTCAGCTGTGGTCTAATTAGTTCTCCTTGTTTGTCAGTGTATATAAGTTCCCTCGTTTCAGTGCTCCATTGACGGTTCTCGTTAATGCATGTACTGAATATTGTGTCAGTGCCCAGGGGCACCAAAGAGTCTTAGACCCCGTTTACACGAAGGGAAAACGCAGATATTTCCCTGCGGTTTGGCCTCTCATTTACACGAAAACCCTGTTTTTATCACAGAAAACGATTATTTCTAAAAACTCTGGCCAAAGTGGAGATTTCTGGAAATGCTGGTTATGTGTTGTCATGTGAACTGGGAGAAGCGGCGTTTTAGGTTGTCTGTTGTCGATTCTGAGGATTCTGATTGGCTTGCATGGCTTTATCGTTCTCCCTACACTGCCGCCCATAGGTTTGGCATAGATATGATGGCGCTCGACTGCGTATTTAAGCAGGTGTGTGCATGGTGTTATTATTGAAAACGGAGAGGGGGAAAATATTTGTTTCTCTAAATACTCGGCTTTGTGTAAACGTGGCCTTAATCTGCCACTGTGAAAAAAAAATCAATAACTTCCTCATTTAGACATACTGGCAGTTTTAATTTCTTATTAAGAGTATAATTTTATTAAAAACAAGAACAATAATTTCATATTTTGTGGGTAGTTTCTCCCAAATTGTAAATTATGTTTTTTTTTACATTTATTTTGAAGAATGTTAATTGCTTGACAGCCCTAATAATGCTGTCAGTTTTGTGACTTTGCAAATGTACTATAAGTAAATGTACATGTGGCAGAAAAATACATAGAAATACAATGATATCTCATTGTTATAATTTGGCATCAGTTAGGGTTAGTGTTAGGGGTTAGGGAAAAAAAACGTGACAATTTATATATAGACCATTTCACAAGATGTAAACAACACTGGTCCAGAAGCACTTCCTGTTTCAGTTTGTAACTGTTTTCTTTATTTCACATGTAAAGAAACATCTTAAAGATGTTTGTTGAACTTTTTGATTCAGTTTTAAATGTTCTGTTGGTTGTATTTTATCCCAGCTTTTATGTGGTGTTAAAAAACTGAAACAGGAAGTGCTTCTGGACCAGTGTTGTTTACATCTTGTGAAATGGTCTATAGGCTAATTATATGATTATATTTACAATTTAGAGTATACAAAATATAAACTATGAATTAATTAAACTAATAATTTACAAATTATTAATTTGTGAGTACTTTATTACTGTATACTTATTATAAAGTGTTACCCATCTATAAATACATATTTTTTCTCAATAACCATTGAAAACTTGCATGTACTTAAGTACATTGTAAAATTAATGTACCATTCCTGTTATCAGAGGAATTATTTTAAAATGTACATATTACATATTTTTTCAAAAGCATTTGTTGCTACTGTTACTATTACTTTTAAAAGGATCTAACAATAAGAACTGCTAAAGAGAATGTTTACCTCATTGCAAAGGGACCATTTTAACAGCAAGGTAAATTACTCCCAGAGGTGGTGATCAAAATTTACATATTTAGTGATAACTACTGAGTTTGACGCATGAGGAAGTGCACGCATTTGCATATTGTTTGTCCTGTGCTGAAGCATCTATCAGCATCAAACTGTAAAAGAACAGTGAACGGGCACATCGCTGCATTTATGTCATTATAATCTGAAAGATGTTTAAGGCTATACAGTATTTTATGAGTAATATGTTGAAACCAACCACTTTATTCTTTATTGGATAGCTGTTAATTTGCATAACTGTTTTAAGATGGAGCTTCAGGCAGCTGTGCAGGCATTACATGTGGTGAAACTCTCGTCTCCTTTACACAAGAAACACTGATTTAAAAAAAGGGGTAAATACAATTGCTCTCACCACTTCTCATTCAGTGGATAGTACAGTACAGTGTTTTCATATCAACACGTGGCAAACTTTTCACTGCTGGAGAAGGGATTTCAGAATCAATAATAACAAAATCGTTTGACGTTCATGAATAGTAACCTCCTGAGAGATGTGTTCCACTTGGGTAGTACTATCAAGTAAGGAACTGTGTGTAACACGCCCTGCAATTCCTAGTCATAAAGATTTAAATTTAATCTCACTGTCTGAAATGTCATACTCTAACAGTACATTCAAATTGGCTGAGCTAGACAAAAGTAAAAATGTACATTAAACAACCATGGGCTGTCTGTACTGTATATATGCCCAGTTCGTAATTGTGTCAACTACATTATTCTCAAAAGAACTGCAGACCATGGTGTAGTTAAGGGATGATAGTAATTCCCTTTCAGCGGAGGGATAATCAAAGAGGGATAGTCTCACATGTGCCAAGAACAGGTCTATCTCTGGACCTATCCACGCACTATTCCATAATTACGGTCTCCAGGACCACCAATTATAGCAGAAAAATGTAAACCTGATTAACCCCTTTCTAAATCAGACCTCCTTATGTCACGCATCAAGCTTCTGAATGCCTCAAAATGCCACAAAGTCACAGTAGATTTACTAGTGAGAGTGTCAGTGGCAGAGCATTACCTTTTAAGATTTTCCTCTGAGATGATTGAGGTCCTTTGAAGGACACATTTATTCATTTACTATTAATTATTCAGAGTGACTTATGCTACTTTTTACTACAGGGACAGCCCCGCAACTTCCAAAAAGACTTCAAACCTTTACCTCACCTCTGTGTACAATCTCTGCTACAGCCAATCGATAGTCCTGGGGGTCCTGTTCGCTGGAGATCTGGAGGCACTTCTCCCCCTTCACTGGAACTAGCTCCAGCAGAGGATCCAGGCTCTCCACCCCACACAGGAGAATTACCACACGGGTCTCCGGTCGCAAGACACGAGCCAGAAAGAACCGCCGGAGCTGGCATAGCCCCTCCAGCATGCCACGCGACAGGATAAGCAGCTTACATTTGTACTTTCCCAATCTCAAGAAGTCATCCTGGCGACTGGTCACCATAGCAATATCATAACAACAAATACCAGTCTCAGGGATTGGGCCTGTCAGCTGGAAGCGCAGGTACGATGCCCACTGCTCTGCCTCCGCCTCATAGATGATCAGGAGATCTTCCGCTAAAAAAGATGGTGTCAATAAAATATGCATCAATAGTTTGTTAAACAAAGCATATTACTATTTTCCTGAATACTTCTCGTAAATTCTGTCATACAACCATGAATGAGGTGCCAAATATTTTTATATTTTGAGAGGAGAGTTGTGCTATGGCTTTTATAATCCAAGGAGAGTACAAAGTTTATAGAGACATGGGGGTTGGCTTGTTTGATTCAGGCAGCCCACCGATCTGGAAATATCACCTGGACAACTGTCTAGCCACACCTTAGCAACATGCAAAAGCCATATCTTGGCAACAGAACTGGACATGGGAGTTGGCTCTATTGTAATCAGGTCACCGCAACATTTTGGTGATGCTGGAACAACATTCCTGTCCAAAAATTTAGTCTTAACCCTATACCCACCCATAAACCTATCCCTACCCACAACTTCCCTAAAATCAGAGGGAAATGATTGGTGAATAATACTGATGTAGAAACACTTAACCCTGGTTGTGAGCCTAAAATTGACATAAACGGTAAACTTGACCCCTTAAATCTGATTAATTGATTGGAATTTTGTTCCAGGATCAAACAAGATGTTGGTCCAGAAACATGTACTTGAAATCAGGGTCACCATTGTAATCACTCGGAACACCCTTGCAACTGTCCAATGCCAAGTGCTGGCATGGAAAGCACTACTCGCATTTACTGGTCCAGTTTATTTAAATTTAAATAAACTTGATCTAGTTTAAATGTATATTTTATGAAAGTATTCAACTATTATGTAGCTCATTTATCCACTTTAAGATAAAGTTAAATCTATTTAAGATGTAGTTAGATTCCACAGTTTTGATAAAACAATTTAAATTTGTTATAACATTTTTTATTATTATTTAAAATATCTCCAGTTAAAGCAAATCTTGTAAGTAACAGACATTTACAACATATTTTTGAAATTACAGTAGTAAATTAAGTGAACAACAAACAACTGAACAAGTTAAAGACTCATGATAAAGAAATAAAGGTAAACTTACATGTGTTGCTCATCTCTCTATCTGCATCGATGTGTGCTGCTGTGTTCTATAATGGTGAGGATGTTTGATCAAACAACGGTCCCTTTGTGCACTCCGACTAATATCTCCACGCTCTGCTAGTTTCCGTGTCATGGAGGCACAGGTGTCTGAATGTTTTTTTACATGCATGTTGATTTAAATATAGGAAGTTGATCATTTTAATGTGTCTGTAAATGAACATAAATTTTAAAATAAACAATAAATACAAATATTCAGTCTCCATATTTTGATACTTTACAAAGCTTTGAAAATTTTAAAAGTAAGTTTCATAGAAATCATAACAATATAGTCTGGGTCCAGCTGTTCAGAGTACTAATGAATATCTAATGAATAAAGATAGAATAAGTGACAGAGAGTTAATCAGAGAGGGTACAAAATCCTCTAAGCACATACCTGTGCTGGCTGGGCAATCTCACAAAACATCTCATGGCCAGCAAGTGACATGGAACAATCTTGCACAATCAAGCAAGATAACAAATGAGTGATGGCATCCCCCCCTACAACACATCAGTGTTTTCTTGCATGTGAATAGACTCAGTTATCCTGCATGTTTTACTTGCCCTAAGCTTCGAAAATGTCATAATGCCTTTGCATCTAAGTCCCCATTCATTGTAATTATGAAAAAGAGCAACAAACGCAGTCAAAAGAGAGAGAGACTTGACTTTTAAGTTCTTTTAATTTACAATAAATAATATATAAAATCATAAAGAGAAACACAACAACATTCTTCTCAGGCAAAATCAGTGATCTCACAGTCTGTATACACATTTCTTAAAAAAAAATCAAAAATACAAATTTAGAAGACCGTCAATCAGTAACGTCTCGGTTACATACTGTAAAACTTAGAGCATAAACGTTGTTCGCCCCGATGAGATCTATATGAGTTTCATATTATTACATGCAAGCGTGTTTGATTTATGGACCAAGTTTTCAGACCCCGTTCAAGGGTCGCTGTCGAGCCCCCCTGCCAAGCCCGGATACCAGCTTCAGCCCAGCCCTGATGGCCGTGGAGTCTGACCTGTGTGCAAAGTTTCAAGAGTTTTTGAGCATGTTAAGGGCCCCAAAAGTGCAAAGAATAAGAAGACTTTTCAAGGCTTGAGCCCTATAAAACAAATCACACAAATAATACATACAACTGTTCCTGACACTTTTCTATCTCCCAGGCTGACCTTTTCAGCAACGCAATTGAGCATACCCGGAAGTATAAAAGTGACGCTGTCACAACACACACTAGCCTCGCGATGAAGCAAGACGCTCAAAGGCCTTAAGGGGTGTGGCAGAACGACGCAGTGTCTCATTCCCTTCTCAGGGAACAAGGGTTATAGTCATAACCCGAGACGTTCCCTATCGAGGGAACTCAACACTGCGTCAAGAATTCGACCTTTGGGGAACGAGTGCCCACTAGGCCGCGCACCGAATAGGCCTGCCCTGGAGTGAAGCTGTATAGGCACTCAGCAAGGCCTGAGCATGTGTGCACCGGGCGTACTGGGAAGGTGGAGACTGTAAAACCTAATGAACGTATGTGAGGTAGCCCAACCGGCTGCCTCACAGATCTCCTGCAGACGTACTCCCGAAAGAAGGGCCCTAGAGGAAGCCATGCCTCTAGTTGAATGAGCCCTTAAGGCCAAAGGTGAAGGCAAACCGCGCACCTTGTAAGCCTCAGTAATAGCCTGAACAATCCAGTTACTAGGGGTGGCACGGTACATGAAAAAACACCCGAACCGTTCGGTTCGCTTGTCTCGGTTCGGAGCGCGTGTGCGTCTCACGGTTCGACGCATGCGCAATGTAGCCCCGTGCCCGTATGTGACGTGTGTTTTCTTTTCGCGCGACATAAGCTTGTTCGACTTGGACCGGCGCTGCACAGAGCGACCGGTGAATAACATCAAACTAGTGCGAGAACGACGGCTCCGTATGCTTTTCATTCACTTTCGCGGTATTTGATGTCATTACCGATTGCTCTGTGCAGCGCTGGTTCAAGTTAGTAAACAAGCCAGTAAAAGTGGAGTTTGAAGTGCTGCAGCACGCGAAGAATGGCAAGTGGGAGAGATGAGGGAGGTGGAGGATGCGCCAGCGTCGTATAAGTCTATGGTATAAGTCCAGTGCAGTGTGTGGGAACATTTTGGATTTCATGTTATGATATTTTAATATAACGCTACAGTGGCACTTTCATGTTTAGATAAGAGCTTCAGTCAAATGTTTCCAAATCCTGCACTTTAATTTCAAGTGAAAAAAAGTACCCTCACTCTCTGGGAATAGAAGCATTGTTGATGCTGTCTTTTGTGTTGAGGTTGAATTTATGTTTCACTTTATGTTTATGGCCTTTGCTATTGCTATAGCCTAATTATAGGCAATGAGGTTTCATGTATATTGACTTATTCATAAAGACAATGTTTTAAGAGTTCCTCTTTTTTCTTTTAAAAGATAGAATTTTTGTAAGAGCTACAAAAGTTGGCAGTTGATAAATGCAAGTTAGTTAATTTCTTTGTGTAAATAAGATTTGTGTGATAAAAATGCACACGTTCTTGAAGACATAGTGATACACATTCTCCTTTTTTTTTGCCAAATAAACGAAAAGCATGTCAATGTCTTCTCTCTTGCTGTGTCAAAATCTCATCTAGCTTTCCTCTGAGATAGTCCCAAAATGTGCTTAAAGTCAGAGTCTAATTCAGTTTGTGCATGATTGCATGAATATCATTTTTTTATACTGTATCCTAAAGTGTGGATAATTAAGCTATATATCACATGTTGAAATACATCTCTGGAGTGTTAAAGATTAAAAGAAAAAAAATAACAAGAACCGTACAGAACCGAAAACCGTGACCCTAAAACCGTGATACAAACCGAACCGTCGGTTTCGTGAACCGTCGGTTTCGTGAACCGTGCCACCCCTACCAGTTACTAATAATCTGTTTGGTTGCCGGGAGCCCCCTCTCAGGTGACCCAAAACATACTAACAATTGATCCGACCTTCTCCAAGAAGAGGACCTCTCAAGGTATAAGCTCAAAGCTCTGACGGGGCAGAGCAAGTGAAGCCTCTCTTCTTCCGCCGACACATGAGGTGGAGGATGGAATGCCTGAAGGACTATAGAACGAGCCGTATTTGATGTAAATTTAGGCACGTAGCCCGGACTTGGGTGCAAAAAAGGCCTTTACTCTGCCAGGGGCAAACTCCAAGCAAGCCGGCGTAACTGCCAGGGCTTGGAGATTTCCCACCCTCTTGAGTGAGGTAATTGCTAAGAGAAAAAACATTTTCAGTGTTAAGTCCTTAGGCGAAGCCGACTCTAAAGGTTCGAAGGGAGCCAGGGATAACCCTTCCAGAACTATTGCCAGGTCCCAGGCAGGAACCCTGGACCTGGTTGCCGGCCTCATCCTCCAAGTACCTCGGATAAACCGAATGACCAACTGGTGCCTCCCCAGAGGCCCACCACCTAATGGCGGGTGGAAAGCCAAAATGGCAGCCACGTACACCTTAAGAGTGGACGGGGAGAGACCTGCAGAGAAACGATCTTGAAGAAATTCCAGAACTGAAGCCACCGGGCAGTTTACTGGATCTGACTCATATTCTCTACACCAAGTGACGAACACATTCCACTTGAGGCCATATAATCTCCTGGTAGATGGAGCCCTAGAGCTAAGTATGGTTTCAACCACTCCAGCTGATAGACCAGTATTCAGGTACTGAACCCCCTCAGAGGCCAGACCCACAGCTACCACAGCTCCGGACGAGGGTGGAAGATGGTGCCCTCCGTCCGAGACAACAGATCCCTCCTCAGAGGAATCTGCCATGGCGGAGCAAATGAGGAGTGACATTATGTCCGAAAACCATACTCGTGTCGGCCACATTGGGGCAACCATAAGTAGACTGATGCCCTCCTGACGGACCCTTTCCAGGACTCCCGGGAGCAGAGCGATCGGGGGAAACATGTACAGGCGAAGCCTCGGCCAGGCCTGTACCATGGCATCCAACCCCAGTGGGGCTGGATGTGAGAGGGAGAACCAAAGTGGACAGTGGGACGTCTCTCGAGACGCAAACAGATCCACTTCCATTGGTCCAAACCTCTCCCATATCCACTTCACCACCTCCGGATGAAGTCTCCATTCCCCGGGCCTCAGCCCCTGCCTCGACAGGATGTCTGCTCCCTGATTCTGCACCCCCGGAATATATACTGCCTTCATAGACAGTATTTTTCCCTGGGACCAAAGGATAACTTGATGCGCCAGTCTGCACAGGAGTCCCCCTTGTCGGTTCAGATAGGCTACCACTGACGTATTGTCTGATTGTACTAAGACGTGGTGACCTTTGATGTCTGGGAGGAAGCTCCTCAAAGCCCTGATCACAGCCATCATCTCATCATCTCTTATATGCCAAGAACGATGATGGTCCTGCTACAGACCCCTGGCAAAGCGGCCGTCCATGACTGCGCCCCAGCCAGTGAGGGAGGCTTCTGTCGAAATGGTTTTCCGGCGACATGACACTCCCAACACTGGCCCTTGGGATAGGAACCATGGTTTCTTCCATATTTGCAGAAAACGAAGGCACCTGCGTGTTACTCTGATCATACGAAATGGATTCCCCTTGGGAGACAACCCCTTGGTTTTCAACCACCACTGAAGGGGCCTCATGTGTAGAAGGCCCAAAGGAGTAATGTTGGATGCCAATGCCATGAGGCCCAGCATTCTTTGAAATTGCTTTACAGTGATGGCCTGGCCCAGCTTCACCCTGAATATCATCGCCAGAATTGACTCGATACGTGCGGGAGACATTCGCGCCTGCATTGTAGTCAAGTTCCACACGACTCCCAAAAATGTCGTGCACTGGGATGGTTCTAGCGCACTCTTCTTCTGAATGTGGCCAAGGACGACATCTCGATGCTGAACTGCCATTTCTCGTGACTGAGCCAGAATGAGCCAGTCTTTGAGATAATTCAATATACAAATGCCTTGAAATCTCAGTTTAGCAAGGGCTACATCCATACATTTGGTGAATGTGCGGGGAGAGAGTGCTAGGCCAAACGGAAGAACCCGATATTGGTAAGCTTCGCCCCCGAAAGCGAACCTCAGGTATCTCCTGTGAAATGGAAGAATGGAGATGTGAAAATAGGCGTCTTTTAAAT